TATTGAAATTGTTTACATCTATTATACCATAATACAATATGAATATGGTGGATAAATATACTATTGAGACTCATTAGATAATTTGAATTATTTCAAATGTATATGGAATATGTGTCATTAAGTAATAGTCTTTTAACTTAGTTTCTTAGTGATGAAGTAACCTAAAATTTGGTGATGGAGAATTAGAAAATGCTAAAACTGTTTACATCTATTATACCATAATACAATATGAATATGGTGGATAAATATACTATCGAGACTCAATAGATAATTTGAATTATTTAAAATGTATATGGAATATGTGTCATTAAGTAATAATCTTTTAACTTAGTTTCTTAGTGATGAAGTAACCTAAGATTTGGTGATGGAGAATTAGAAAATACTAAAGTTGTTTACATCTATTATACCATAATACAATATGAATATGGTGGATAAATATACTATCGATACTCATTAGATAATTTGAATTATTTCAAATGTATATGGAATATGTGTCATTAAGTAATAGTCTTTTAACTTAGTTTCTTAGTGATGAAGTAACCTAATATTTGGTGACGGAGAATTAGAAAATACTAAAATAGTTTACATCTATTATACCATAATACAATGTGAATATGGTGAACAAATAAACTATCGAGACTCATTAGATAATTTGAATTATTTCAAATGTATATGGAATATGTGACATTACGTAATAGTCTTTTAACTTAGTTTCTTAGTGATGAAGTAACCTAAGATTTGGTGATGGAGAATTAGAAAATACTGAAACTGTTTACATCTATTATACCATAATACAATATGAATATGGTGGATAAATATACTATCGAGACACATTAGATAATTTTAATTATTTTAAAAAGTATATGGAATATGTGTCATTAAGTAATAGTCTTTTAACCTAGTTTCTTAGTGATGAAATAACCTAAGATTTGGTGATGGAGAATAAGATAATACTGAAATTGTTTACATCTATTATACCATAATAGAATATGAATATGGTGAATAAATATACTATTGAGACTCATTAGATAATTTGAATTATTTTCAATGTATATAAAATATGTGTCATCAATTAATAGTCTTTTAACTTAGTTTCTTAGTGATGAAGTAACCTAAAATTCTGTGATGGAGAAGAAGAAAATACTGAAATTGTTTACATCTATTAAACCATAATAAAATATGAATATAGTGAATAAATATACTATCGAGACTCATTATATAATTTGAATTATTTCTAATTTATATGGAATATGTGTCATTAATTAATAGTCTTTTAACTTAGTTTCTTGGTGAAGAAGTAACCTAAGATTTGGAGATGGAGAATTAGAAAAGACTGAAACTGTTTACATCTATTATACCATAATACAATATGAATATGGTGGATAAATATACTATCGAGACTCATTAGATAATTTGAATTATTTCAAATGTATATGGAATATGTGTCATTAAGTAATAGTCTTTTAACTAAGTTTCTTAGTGAAGAAGTAACCTAAGATTTGGTGAGGAGAATTAGAAAATACTGAAACTGTTTACATCTATTATACCATAATACAATATGAATATGGTGGATAAATATAATATCGAGACTCATTAGGAAATTTGAATTATTTCAAAAAGTATATGGAATATGTGTCATTAAGTAATAGTCTTTTAACCTAGTTTCTTAGTGATGAAATAACCTAAGATTTGGTGATGGAGAATAAGAAAATACTGAAATTGTTTACATCTATTAAACCATAATACAATATGAATATGGTGAATAAATATACTATCGAGACTCATTATATAATTTGAATTATTTCTAATATATATGGAATATGTGTCATTAATTAATAGTCTTTTAACTTAGTTTCTTGGTGAAGAAGTAACCTAAGATTTGGTGATGGAGAATTAGAAAATACTGAAACAGTTTACATCTATTATTCCATAATACAATATGAATATAGTGGATAAATATAATATTGAGACTCATTAGATGATTTGAATTATTTCAAATGTATATGGAATATGTGTCATAAGTAATAGTCTTTTAACTTAGTTTCTTAGTGATGAAATAACCTAAGATTTGGTGATAGAGAATAAAAAAATACTGAAACTTTTTACATCTATTATACCATAATACAATATGAATATGGTGAATAAATATACTATCGAGACTCATTAAATAATTTGAATTATTTCATATTTATATGGAATATGTGTCATTAAGTAATAGCCTTTTAACTTAGTTTCTTAGTGATGAAGTAACCTAAATTTTCGTGGTGGAGAATTAGAAAATACTGAAACTGTTTACATCTATTATACCATAATACAATATTAATATGGTGAATAAATACACTATCGAGACTCATTAGATAATTTGAATTATTTCAAATGTATATGGAATATGTGTCATTAAGTAATAGTCTTTTAACTTAGTTTCTTAGTGATGAAATAACCTAAGATTTGGTGATGGAGAATAAGAAAATACTGAAATTGTTTACATCTATTAAACCATAATACAATATGAATATGGTGAATAAATATACTATCGAGACTCATTATATAATTTGAATTATTTCTAATATATATGGAATATGTGTCATTAATTAATAGTCTTTTAACTTAGTTTCTTGGTGAAGAAGTAACCTAAGATTTGGTGATGGAGAATTAGAAAATACTGAAACAATTTACATCTATTATACCATAATACAATATGAATATGGTGAATAAATATACTATCAAGACTTATTAGATAATTTGAATTATTTCAAATGTATATGGAATATGTGTCATTAAGTAATAGTCTTTTAACTTAGTTTCTTAGTGATGAAGTAACCTAAGATTTGGTGATAGAGAATAAAAAAATACTGAAACTTTTTACATCTATTATACCATAATACAATATGAATATGGTGAATAAATATACTATCGAGACTCATTAAATAATTTGAATTATTTCATATTTATATGGAATATGTGTCATTAAGTAATAGTCTTTTAACTTAGTTTCTTAGTGATGAAGTAACCTAAAATTTCGTGGTGGAGAATTAGAAAATACTGAAACTGTTTACATCTATTATACCATAATACAATATTAATATGGTGAATAAATACACTATCGAGACTCATTAGATAATTTGAATTATTTCAAATGTATATGGAATATGTGTCATTAAGTAATAGTCTTTTAACTTAGTTTCTTAGTGATGAAGTAACCTAAAATTTGGTGATGGAGAAGAAGAAGAATATTGAAATTGTTTACATCTATTATATCATAATACAATATAAATTTGGTGAATAAATATACTATCGAGACTCATTATATAATTTGAATTATTTTCAATGTATATAAAATATGTGTCATCAATTAATAGTCTTTTAACTTAGTTTCTTAGTGATGAAGTAACCTAAAATTTGGTGATGGAGAAGAAGAAAAATATTGAAATTGTTTACATCTATTATACCATAATACAATATGAATATGGTAAATAAATATACTATTGAGACTCATTATATAATTTGAATTATTTCTAATGTATATAAAATATGTGTCATCAATTAATAGTCTTTTAACTTAGTTTCTTAGTGATGAAGTAACCTAACATTTGGTGATGGAGAAGAAGAAAATACTGAAATTGTTTACATCTATTATACCATAATACAATATGAATATGATGAATAAATATACTATCGAGACTCATTATATAATTTGAATTATTTTCAATGTATATAAAATATGTGTCATCAATTAATAGTCTTTTAACTTAGTTTCTTAGTGATGAAGTAACCTAAAATTTGGTGATGGTGAAGAAGAAAATACTAAAATTGTTTACATCTATTATACCATAATACAATATGAATATGGTGAATAAATATACTATCGAGACTCATTATATAATTTGAATTATTTCTAATTTATATGGAATATGTGTCATTAATTTATAGTCTTTTAACTTAGTTTCTTGGTGAAGAAGTAACCTAAAATTTGGTGATGGAGAAGAAGGAAAATACTGAAATTATTTACATCTATAATACCATTATACAACATGAATATGGTTGATAAATATACTATCGATACTCATTAGATAATTTGAATCATTAAAAATGTATATGGAATATGTGCACTGCTAAAAAAAAGACATTTGAGAAAAGGTTTTTACATCGGGTATCAAAATATATGATGTAAAAAATACAATTAACAAACTTTTTACATCAGGTATTTATTTGCAATGATATAAAAAATATGAAAAAATATATATTTCGCTACCTATTACATCGGGCAAACGCATCCACCGATGTAAAAAGTTTTCAGAAAAAAATACAGTGACATTTTTGTAAATAAGAAACAAGGTAGTAGAAATATTAATAAAAAACATGCAACATATTACATCGGTTGACTAAACACCGATGTAATATCTTCACAATAGATATTAATATAAAAAATAAATTAAAGAATAAATTAATTTTTTTGCAACTTATTACATCGGGTATTACAATGCACCGATGTAATAGGTGCATTATAAAAAAAAGTCAGAAAAAAAAGCTTGTCAACCCTTACATCGGGTATTACATGCACCGATGTAATAGGTGCATTGTAAAAATAAAAAAAAAGCTTGCCAACCCTTACATCGGGTATTACAATGCACCGATGTAATAGCTTGCCAACCTTTACATCAGGTATTATAATGCACCGATGTAATAGGTGTCAAACCCTTATTTCCCAAACAGTAGAAAAATTACAACTCCATCGTTATTCTTCCACCACTCCATCTCGAAAAAGCCAACTAGACACACCGGCATACCAGCTAAAAGTTGTATCTAAAGCAAATCACCAAACCCATCTCTTATCTCTCACCTCACTCCATCATCTTCCAAACCAATTTCTCCTTTTCATAAACCCTATTCCCAATCTTCTAAACTTTAACTTCAATTTCCCCACTTTCCATTCCTAAAAGAAAAACCATACTATTATCATTATTATCCAAAACTCAAAACTGGAGTTCCTTCCCTGAGAAATGCCAAGTGTGGCTGTAAAACTCTACAGCGTATTCTTCAAGTTCCTCTTGAAGCACCGTTTACAAAACCGGATTCAAGCCCAACCCGACAATAACTCCAACTCGTTTGGTATCACTTCACGACCCAAAGAATCCGTCGCTAACTCTAACCCTTCTTTTACCGACAGCGTCGCCACCAAGGATATCCACATCGATCCTTTCACTTCTCTCTATCCGAATCTTTCTTCCTCACTCCGCTCTTTCTCCTCCCGAGCCACATTCCAAACCTAAACAACATACTCCCGAACCTGGATCTGTACGGAGAAGTAGCTATGGTCCTCCGTTCAGGGAAGAGCAGCTCCGAGGGAGGAATAGTAACGCTGTTGAGGGTTTGAATTTGATGGGAGCTGGTGTTGAAACCGGTGCTGGTTTGTACCGTGGTTACTCGCCGGCGTTGGATAATCGGTGAAGGAAATTACCGGTGATGTTGCAGTTTCATGGTGGGGGGTGGGTTAGTGGTAGTAATGATTCGGTGGCGAACGATTTGTTTTGTCGGCGGATCGCCAAGCTTTGTGATGTGATTGTCGTTGCGTTTGGGTATAGGTTGGCGCCGGAGAGTAGGTATCTGGCTGCGTTTGAGGATGGGTTGAAGGTGTTGAATTGGTTGGCCAAGCAGGCGAATTTGGCCGAGTGTAGTAAATCTATGGGGGTTGGTGGAGGAAGCCATGGTGGTGGTGGTGGTGGGGAGTTTAACAAGGATAATCATAGGAATATTGTTGATTCTTTTGGTGCTTTAGTGGTGGAGCCTTGGCTGGCTAGTCATGGAGATCCAACAAGGTTTTCACTATTTCATTGTTCTATTTCATTTTTTCTATGTTAATTCTCATGAATCATGATTCTTAGCTTGCTTTGTTTGCATTATCTCATTAAGCATTTCAAGATTTAGAATTTAAGATTGAAGAGTAGTCTATTTCTTACTCGTATTGTCAATAGAAAGTTTGTCCTAATTCTGCTAGGCTAAATTGTATATCTGCTATTTGAATTTGACAACATTTTGTACTAAATCGCGTGTCACAAACTTTAGTGGTTTGTTAAGTTCTGATACTCTATACTGCCACTATTTCACAACTTTTTTTTATAATGCTATGCTTGTTTGTGAGTGAAACGCCTTCTGTTATTGTTTTCTCTTATATATATAGATAGTGATTCATTAGAGAGTGTACTATAATATAGATAGTGATTCATTATAGATTGCTTTTTCTAATTATTGGTTGTTAATGTTTGTTTTCAACTGTTTAATTTAATTGTATATTATACTATTTTTCTATCTATAAATACAATAGAAAGCATGACGTTTTACACTCAAGAAGAAAATACACAACACAAACACATTCAAGTGTTCTTCTCTTCCTCTGTATACAATACAAACAATAACGTAGTACTAGTAATGGAAGGAGATAAATGTTGTTCAAGTTTGTTTCAAAGGTGCAAGCCATACATAGCTATGATTTGTCTTCAATTTGGTTTTGCTGGTATGAATATAATAACAAAAGTATCTCTCAACCGAGGAATGAGTCACTATGTTCTTGTTGTTTATAGACATGCTTTTGCTACAGCAGCTATTGCTCCATTCGCTATAGTTCTTGAGAGGTATTCAACAATCATTCATTTTCTGACTGATTTTTTGTTTGAGAAAACCACTTTCTGATCCTTCCTTCTTTCTTGTCGTTGGCAGGAAGATAAGGCCAAGGATTACGTTTCTTATGTTCATGCAAATGTTTGTATTGGGACTCCTCGGGTTAGTACTTTTCTCGCGGTGTTTTCTGATGGATTTAGATTCTTTGCTGTCGAAATTTCTAAAAAACACTATAGTTAGTTCATCTGAATCGCAATGTTAACTATTCCAAAAATGTTCTTAAATAAGTGTTTTTGTTTTGTTTAGGCCTGTGATTGATCAGAATCTATACTATGCTGGGTTGAAATTCACATCTCCAACATACTCTTGTGCTATTAGCAATATTCTCCCTGTAATGACTTTTGTAATGGCTGTTATTTTCAGGTATATATATATATATATATATATATATATATATATATATATATATATATATATATATATATATATATATATATATATATATATATATATATATATATATATATATATATATATATATATATATATATATATATATATATATATATATATATATATATGATATACGTTCCTTTTCTTTTTATATGTTTTTAGTATTAAATTAGTTAACTTGGTGTTATTTTCTTCACTTGTGATAAACTAGGATGAATTTTGTAGCAAATATGAAAAGGAGTCGCCAATGTGACCCCCCTCCTCCACCCAAAAATAAAAAATATATCTTACAAATTATAAGTAGCACTGAACTTGTTTTTTTAATCTAGACATTACAAACCAAAATAGTTGATAGACTATGTGCATCTCATTTTACAGACGATTGATAATAAGGAAACAATGAATAAAATGCAATTTTAAATATTAATCCCCTTCACTATGATTGTTACCTCTTGAGGTCTGTCCGGCTGTAAGTAATGCCTGAAGAAATGATATTGTTCATTCATATTTGGGTACCTGCATGATAAAATGTGGAATAAATAAAATTGATTGTGATCATGTAAAGCAAGAAAAGCAAGCATAAAGAACTTACAAGGAGTAGTCACATTCAAAACCGACATATTCTGCAAAGTGATTCCCTATGTCATAGCCTCTGTAGTTGTATGATGCATATTCATAATCAATGAAGTAAAGTTTATCTGGACATTTGTCAAAACAAATCAAAGATTAAAATCCCAGATGTACTATTAATAGGTCGGTTATCTAACCATTCTCTCTTGACATGAGAATGTTTCATAAGGAGAATGCCCATTTCAGAGACGTTTGTCTCCTTATCACTTTGTTATAAACTGATTAGAATATTCACATCATAAATTCCTGTTATCGAACAAACTCGGTAAGCTTTAGATCACCATTAATCTTGTATAATCCATTTTAATTTGTTCTTAAATAAGTGTTTTTATTTTGTTATGGAGCATAAACCAAATGTTTGGAACATTGGTTTGGACATGAATTTATTAGCTGCAGCCTATGCTGTAAGTTTTTCTCCTAATATCTAGGTATTTTGTTATGTTTATGGAGGATTTTAATTAATGGAGCTAAACATTGATGAACAAACAGGGTATAATATCATCAGGTCTTACATATTATGTACAAGGAATTGTGATGCAAAAGAAAGGACCAGTTTTTGGGACTGCTTTTAGTCCTTTGATGATGATCATTGTAGCAACCATGGCCACTTTCATCCTTGATGAAAAATTATATCTTGGAGGGTAAGTCCATTATATAAAGTTTTTTATTCTCTATTTTTGGTCTAATTTGTATTTATCTCTATATCGAATTTTTGAAGAAAAAAAGAGACAGATGTGTGAAGAATGCAACCACAATTATAATGTTGGGATGCTGATACATCTGAAACTTTACTATTGCATCACAAGTGGACCATAAATTTAATTAAAACCTTTGTTCAATGCAATGAATTATGAACTAATCAATTTTCAGTGGGAAAGATACTTTACTTTCATGCGGTTTCTTCTCTATACTTTCTATCATTTTCTTATCATAAATCAATAAAAAAAGGAAACATCACAATCATAAAAATAAAAAAAAAACACAAAATGAGAAAGTAGGTAAATAATTTGTTTTCATTATTGATTTATTTATTTAATTTATGATTTTCAGTGTTATTGGAGCAATTTTGATCGTAATAGGACTTTACTCCGTTCTATGGGGCAAAAACAAAGAAAACAAAGAGATTGAAGCGGAAACAAAAACAGAAAGAACGGAGTGTTGTGTAAAAATTTGGAGGCTTGTTATGTTAAGGGTAATTGGGTCTTCTTTTAGGATGAGTGTATATATCAGTATACTGATTATTTAGTTGTCTACCAGAGATTTTATATTGGTAATTTAAGTTTGGAAACTTATAAATAGTTGAATATTTTTTGTATATTTTGTGAATAATATGTAATTGTAAGTTTTGAAAAAAGACTTATAAATAGTTGAATATTGTTGTATATTTTGTGAAGAATTTGTAATTGTAAGTTTGTTTGTTGTAATACAATACAAGTTTGCAATACAATTGTTCAATTTGTAAGTTTGTTGTGAAAAATATGAAAACATCGACCTAGATGTGATATATGTGATGTTGGAAAGCTATGAAATCTATATAGCGACATAAATATAGTCTGTGTGATATTGGAAAAATATGAAAAAATGGGTACAAATTATATTTGTACAGGGAAACATCCAGAAAATAAATAATTTATTCCAAAAAAATTTCATACATTTTACATCGGTTATTAGTAAAAACTGATGTAAAAACTTTAAAAAAGGGACTTTTTACGTCGGTTGGGGATAATAACCGATGTAAAAAGTCGTGTCACTGGGGACTTTTTACATCGGGTATTACTTCCAACCGATGTAAAAAACTGGATCAATTTTTAAAAAAAATTTGCATAATAACTGTTTCTTACATCGGTTCATATATTATAACCGATGTAAAAAAGGGACTTTTTACATCGGGTATTACTTCCAACCGATGTAAAAAACTGGATCAATTTTTTAAAAAATATGCATAATAACAGGTTATTACATCGGTTCTGATATTATAACCGATGTAAAAAAGGGACTTTTTACATCGGTCCCAGAACCGATGTAAAAAGTCCCTGATTTACTATATCGCCTGACTTTACATCGGACCCAGAACCGATGTAAAAAGTCAATTTCACCCGATGTAAAAAGTCATTTCTGCACTAGTGGTGTCATTAAGTAATAGTGTTTTAACTTAGTTTCTTAGTGATGAAGTAACCTAAGATTTGGTGATGGAGAATTAGAAAATACTGAAACTGTTTACATCTATTATACCATAATACAATATGAATATGGTGGATAAATATACTATCGAGACTCATTAGATAATTTGAATTATTTCAAATGTATATGGAATATGTGTCATTAAGTAATAGTCTTTTAACTTAGTTTCTTAATGATGAAGTAACCTAAAATTTGGTGATGGAGAATTAGAAAATACTGAAATTGTTTACATCTATTATACCATAATACAATATGAATATGGTGAATAAATATACTATCGAGACTCATTATATAATTTGAATTATTTCTAATGTATATGGATTATGTGTCATTAATTAATAGTCTTTTTACTTAGTTTCTTGGTGAAGAAGTAACCTAAGATTTGGTGATGGAGAATTAGAAAATACTGAAACAGTTTACATCTATTATACCATAATACAATATGAATATGGTGAATAAATATACTATCGAGACTCATTAGATAATTTGAATTATTTCAAATGTATATGGAATTTGTGTCATTAAGTAATAGTCTTTTAACTTAGTTTCTTAGTGATGAAGTAACCTAAGATTTGGTGATGGAGAATTACAAAATACTCAAACTGTTTACATCTATTATACCATAATACAATATGAATATGGTGGATAAATATACTATCAAGACTCATTAGATTATTTGAATTATTTCAAATGTATATGGAATATGTGTCATTAAGTAATAGTCTTTTAACTTAGTTTCTTGGTGATGAAGTAACCTAAAATTTGGTGATGGAGAATTAGAAAATACTGAAACTGTTTACATCTATTATACCATAATACAATATGAATATGGTGAATAAATATACTATCGAGACTCATTAGATAATTTGAATTATTTCTTATGTATATTGAATATGTGTCATTAAGTAATAGTCTTTTAACTTAGTTTCTTGGCGATGAAGTAACCTAAAATTTGGTGCTGGAGAATTAGAAAATACGGAAACTGTTTACATCTATTATACCATAATAAAATATGAATATGGTGAATAAATATACTATCGAGACTCATTAGATAATTTGAATTATTTCAAATGTATATGGAATATGTGTCATTAAGTAATAGTCTTTTAACTTAGTTTCTTAGTGATGAAGTAACCTAAAATTTGGTGATGGAGAATTAGAAAATAGTGAAACTGTTTACATCTATTATACCATAATACAATATGAATATGGTGAATAAATATACTATCGAGACTCATTAGATAATTTGAATTATTAAAATGTATATGGAATATGTGTCATTAAGTAATAGTCTTTTAACTTAGTTTCTTAGTGATGAAGTAACCTAAAATTTGGTGATGTAGAAGAAGAAAAATATTGAAATTGTTTACATCTATTATACCATAATACAATATGAATATGGTGAATTAATATACTATCGAGACTCATTATATAATTTGAATTATTTTCAATGTATATAAAATACGTGTCATCAATTAATAGTCCTTTAACTTAGTTTCTTAGTGATGAAGTAACCTTAAATTTGGTGATGGGGAAGAAGAAAAATATTGAAATTGTTTACATCTATTATACCATAATACAATAAGAATATGGTAAATATATATACTATCGAAAATCATTATATAATTTGAATTATTTCTAATGTTTATGGAATATGTGTCATTAAGTAATAGTCTTTTAACTTAGTTTCTTGGTGAAGAAGTAACCTAAAATTTGGTGATGGAAAAGAAGGAAAATAATGAAATTGTTTATATCTATTATACCATAATACAATATGAATATGGTGGATAAATATATTATCGAGACTCATTAGATAATTTTAATTATTTCAAATGTATATGGAATATGTGTCATTAAGTGATAACCTTTTAACTTAGTTTCTTAGTGATGAAATAACCTAAGATTTAGTGATGGAGAATAAGAAAATACTGAAATTGTTTACATCTATTATACCATAATACAATATGAATATGGTGAATAAAAATACTATCGAGACTCATTAGATAATTTTAATTATTTCATATGTATATGGAATATGTGTCATTAAGTAATAGTCTTTTAACTTAGTTTCTTAGTGATGAAGTAACCTAAAATTTGGTGATGGAGAATTAGAAAATACTGAAACTGTTTACATCTATTATACCATAATACAATATGAATATGGTGGATAAATATACTATCGAGAATCATTAGATAATTTGAATTATTTAAAATGTATATGGAATATGTGTCATTAAGTAATAGTCTTTTAACTTAGTTTCTTAGTGATGAAGTAACCTAAGATTTGGTGAAGGAGAATTAGAAAATACTGAAACTGTTTACATCTATTATACCATAATACATTATGAATATGGTGAATAAATATACTATCGAGACTCATTAGATAATTTGAATTATTTCAAATGTATATGGAATATGTGTCATTAAGTAATAGTCTTTTAA